TTTTATTTAGTTTCTTTGTAATTCAAAGAGTACAATAATTTTAAAAAGACTTTTCTCTCCTTTTTTTTCTTGAATTCCTGTTTAAGGTTCTTTGTTCATCACTGATGTAAATATACTTAGCTGCTCATTCACTATATGCATTGCCTCTGTATCATTGTACATCTCATCCTTCCTCTGTTATAGTGTTATCATGACTTCCTTACTTCCTTCCTTCCTTCAGTACGAACAACAGGCTTGCTCAGGGTTATGTGTGTTCCTGCTGCATTTTGAGAAGAGTAGCTCTGTCTCTCGGTGTTAAGTAACAAGAATTCGTATATATTATTTCTCTTGTGTTCACATCTGCCAGTCTTGTGTGTCTTTCCCTCATACTTATCACTAATCATTTTTTATTTTATATTAAGTGTCAGTCAGTCAGCCTTTACATCTGTTTGATGATATAAGTAAGTAACTAGAAAGACAGATTACACTGAGTGTAAGTGATCTTGAAAGTATTGCATGTACTGGAGTAGAAATTTAAGTTGTCAAGATGATACACAGAGGAAGTAACTTTAAATTCTTAAATGTATTAAATCTCACTAAATGAGGCTTTATTTTCTATGAAAGCCAGCAGTGTAAATGTTCCTGAAACAGTACTAAAGGAGAAGGTATGAACTGATGCATGCTGATTTTAGCACGTTATGTGCCTACCTCAATATTTTGTATATCTGATTTTAGAACCAACCCGTGTTATGGAGTTTGCTAATATTCTCTGTTATCCCCAGGTCTATCATAAAACAGAGAAGGGACTGAGTAGGTTTTCGGACGAGGATTTCGAGGACCACCAACCTTTCCCAACACTGCAGAAGGCCTTAGAGTCTGTTCCTTACACCTGTGGCTTTAATGTGGAAGTCAAGTGGACAATGCAGATGAGGGACGGAACATATGAGCTGCAGCATCCTTTCGAGTTGAACCGCTTCCTAGATCTCATTATAGAGGTAAATAAAGATGGAGTTGAGACAAGCAGTTCACATCTGTAAGACCAGATGTGGACTTTTGAGAATGGATAGCAAAATAGAATTCAAATCCTTCAGTATGTACCTGTGATTAGAGGATTGCATTTTAAGAATTGTGAAGTGTTGTAAAAATAGTTCGGAAATGTCTAAAGGGTTTTGCCCCTCCTTGGCAGCTCGCTTAATTTTATGAGCATATATTTTGCTTTGATGATTTTGTGAAATCTGTAGGATGAGAGATTGCACTAAAGTGTGACAGATACTTTTATTTTCTTTAAGATATGCCCACATCTGAGGTAAACTATATAACATGTAGAAACTTTAGGTTTGTATATCATTAATGGAAAGCGTCAGATACTATATTTTTTTATTTTCCTGAAAAAATGTCTGCTGGTTATGTTATATATCTTTTTCACATCATGTAATGGAATTATTTTTTATTCATCAATTTTCTGGTACATGTGTCCACTCTTTGCAATACTTTCTTTCTCTCATTACTGACCCCTAGAATAATTCCTTAGCATATTATCCATAGAATATCTTTTTATACTTTATCTTTTTCTCCAGACTATTCTTGAACACTCTGGCAAGAGGAAGATCATCTTCTCATGCTTCCACCCTGACATCTGTACCATGCTGCGCCTCAAGCAGAATCGCTACCCAGTCATGTTCCTGACACAGGGTGTCTCAGAGCTCTGGCCGCCCTATGAAGACCAACGCACCACCACCATCAGACATGCAGTGCTCTACTCGACAAATGCAGATATATTGGTGAGTATTATGGAAAGATTTACAGACTGACTGTGTTTTGTATATATTTGTTTGTATGGATGGGTATGTGTATGTGAAATCCATGTATGTCTTAAATAGTTTATAAAAAATTCAACGAGTTCATCACTGAACTTTATGTTGTTACAGTATGTTGGAGTTGTATTGTTCTGTTCATTTAGGATTTTATAAAGTACATTAGAAAGTTCTTAAGGAAATGGATAATGAATTTCCTGTGCTTGTATGCATGTTGGGTCACTAGATGTACACAAGCCTTTAATGATTTAGGTTTTAGAGCAATCACCTGGAGACAGACAGAGGTAGGTAGGTAAACAGGTAGGTTGAGAGGTACATAGAGAGATGAGGAGGGAAGTAGAATGAGAGAGAGAGACAAGTAGAATTTAAAAGAGAAAATTAGAATGAGAAAGAGAGAGGGAAGTAGAATGAGAGAGAGAAAAAAATTAAATGAGAGAGAGAGAAACTGAATGAAAGAGAGAAAAGTAGAATGAGAGAGAGAGAGAGAGAGAGATCTTTTAAGAGTTTCAGAAATTCTCTTAAATTTGAGTATCTGCTTTAACACACAGTTGAATTTCCAGGGAATCAACGTACACACAGAAGACCTGATGCGTGACCCACAGCAGGTCCAGATGGCCCTTGAGCATGCTTTGATCGTCTTCTGCTGGGGAGACCACAACAACAACCAAGAGAATATAAAATTTCTGAAGAGCATTGGGCTTCATGGCATCATCTATGATAAGTGAGTTGTTTCTATGTGTTTCCAAATTTGTTTGGAATTTTTCTTTTTCTTTTTCTTTCTTTTTTCACAGAATTCATAACCATAACTGTTTTATTTTTTGAATGTGTGCATATTGAAATATTTTGATTGCATGTGTAAAATACAAGCTATTTGCCAGTATACAGAATAATGACTTGATATTCTTCTGTGTCTCTGTAGAATCGACGTGTATAACACGAAAGTGAAGAAGGAAAGCGTATTCTTATGCGAGGAAAGGGAGGCAGGAATAAACTCAAATGGCACCACTTCTGACATGCAAGAAACCAACCACTCATAAAGTCACTCCTATTTATATTTATTTATATATTTATGACTTGTATGTATTATATGTATATTTATTTGTGTATGTATGTATGTAGATGTATTATGTATATGAGTATATATATACATACACACTTAAATATCTATGCATACATATACATAAAGACCTTTTCTTGTCAATAGTGGATAAAGGAATAGCAGAAAAAGTAGGGCAGAATATCTCAAGAATAATGGTGGATGCAATGAGTTTTTTGTTCATTAGCATATTTTTTTCTAGTCTTTCTGGTATAGATACTTGCCATTTGCTATAGCCAGCCAACTCAATTACATGTGGAAGTTGGATGAGAAAAATATAATATTTTCTTTCACTCTCTCTTACATTCTTTTATTGCTTTCAGTGAAATATATTTAAATGTATAATTAGAGTTTGATTATAGTGGTGGTACTAATTTGTGTAATGAATTGTATTGATATGAATTTTAGACCCAAAGTAGGTTTATGCAACCATCATATATACTTGAATACAAGCTGTGCAAGGTGCAGAGAGAGAGTTTTCAGCATTTGTAATTTATGCAAAAAAAATTTAGACCGCACATACCACTGCTTTAAAAACTTGCACCGTTATCACAGTCATTCTGCTGCTATGCAGTATAGTTTTACTTTTCACATGTTTGTGTATGAATTTACCATGACTATTATGTCACTTTGTATTGAACAGTGACTTCAGGATTTCATGACATGTTCTAATGTCTAGAGACTTATAATACCTATATCAAATGACGTGAGATAACTTGCACGTCTTAAAAGCCACAAGATATCTGGCAATAGATATGCACAGGTAATGCTGTTATGATAAGAATCTGAATAAGATTTTCAATATTGATATCAGCTTTACTTCTAATTCTCGTGAAGTATTTCGAGAATTGACAAAGCTTAACCCATAGCTAATGATTCCAGTAGTTTAGAATTTTGCCAATTCTGAGATAGACACATATTTCACCTTTGTATTTTGTGTGACTCTGTATTGGTATTACAGTTTCTGTTTGATCATGTACTTGCACAAATATTGCTAGACATGCCCACAAAAAATCCTTAATATTTTGATAAAATGATAAAATAAATTGTTATTAGAAAAGAAATTGAAATTATTGGTTGTTGATGATTTGGGGAAAAAAGTAAAAAATTAAGAAAGTAAAGGTAATTAAGACCAGGTACCTGAAACATCAAATAGGGTGATGTTTGTGTGGTTCATTATAATTCTGTGCCATTTTTTGCCAATCTAAAAATAATTAATGCCTTTTTTTCTTCTTAAGGTTAGCATATTGAAAGGCAAATAATACAAAAAACAAACTCACAAACACACTCATTTTCACTCACTGTCTCTCACTCTCACCCTCACACTGAATCATTCTCATCTTTGCACATACTCATTTTCACTCACTCTCACACTCAATCTTCTCATTTTCTCATTCTCACTCACTCTTACTCTCTTTTACTCTCTTTCTCGCTCATGCTTGCTCTCTCTCTCTCTCTCTCTCTCTCTCTCTCTCTCTCTCTCTCTCTCTCTCTCTCTCTCTCTCTCTCTCTCTCTCTCTCTCTCTCTCTCTCTCTCTCTCTCTCTCTCTCTCTCTCACTCACACACACACACACACACACACACACACACACACACACACACACACACACACACACACACACACACACACACACACACACACACACACATGCACACATGCACACATACACACACCTCTTTCTCCCTCACCTTCAAGTAGCCAGTCAACATTTTCGCAACCTTTTGTGACCATGTGTTTGTCATAAAGAAGGATCTTTGCAATTATTCTTCTAAAACTGTTAAAAGATCTATAAGGTATTTAAAAAAATTGTTAATTACCAGTTATACCAACTTGGGTATGTATTCCTTCTCTCCCTTGCCTTTCCCTCTTCACGTATTGCCTTCTCTCTCTTTTTTCTTTTCTCTCTTTTCACTCACTCTTTTTCTCACTCTCTTTTTCTCTCTCATTTTTTTCTCTCTCCCTCTCTCCCCTCTTTTTGCTCTCACTCTTTTTATCCCCCTCCTTCCCTTTCTTTATTTCTAGAGAGGAAATATGTACTGAGTACAAATCATAAACATATTTAGTGCGGGAAGACAATACTTATGGAACTGATAGACTGCTGTTCAAGGA